TCTCTCTTCTATGACTTAAGAAATGACTGGAGAACTATACACACACGGCTCAGCTCTCTTTCTTCTTAAAGATGGGGTTAGACTCAGTTTCTACAGAAAATGGGAAGGAGGGACAAAAAGGTGTTGTTGTTTCTTTGGAACCAAGGTCATTATGCCCAGTATAACTAAAAGAACATAATCAAAGAAACCATGAATTCACGTGTTATAAGAGTCTAACAGTGGAGAGGAGATCACCACAAATTATAAGTGATTTATCAAAGCATCCCTCCCCTACACAGGCAGTGGGATAAAACCCCAACAGACATCAGAGAAAGAGCAACAGAGAGCTTGGCATTTGATACTGGCAGAATCTGAGGATAGGATAATGGGTGATATCCCATGCCTCTTCAGTGTACATACTGAACTTGTAAAGACAGACGTGTGGTCTTCATTCCCCATTCCCTCTTACTTACTACACTCTGACTTCCATTTTTCCCAAGTTCTTCCTCTGAAATTTTGCTCAAATTATCTAGGTAGTGGTCTGATATTGTGTGGCACAAATCTTCGAAAGAATAATCCTTTTCTTGGCAGAGTTTTATTTCATCCAAGAGTTTTGATAATTCTCCAGTCACCGTTTCACCTGTAAGAAAGTAAGGTTTTTCAGAAGCTTAAAGAAAGGCCATTGCTAAAAGTTAACGTTAAATAATAAAAATACAACTAGTGTGGTGATAGAAATAAAAATATAACAAGATGAAGTAGTCAGCTAAAAGCAAGATACTAAATGGTAATTAGAACAATAATATTAAAAGACAAGGGAGAAAATTCCAATTTTGCCTACTTTGATTCTTTTTTCAAAATAGAAATGAGTTTTGAAGATTTACATATAAACAGCATATCTAAGTATCTAGAATTACAATTCTTAAAACGTTATGTATTTTATTTCACTGGGAGAATTTTACTCCACTGGCAGAATTCATTCAACAATTCATTTAAGAAATTTGAAATGGTGCAGAGGGTGTACTTCCTAAGTTCAATAAGCAGAAATAGTAACTTATTTAAATAATTGGAGCCCTGGTGGCACAGCAGTTAAGAGTTCAGCTGCTAACTAAAAGGTCAACAGTTCAAATCCACCAGCTGCTCCTTGGAATCCCTATAGGGCAGTTCTACCCTTTCCTATAGGGTCACTGTGAGTCAGAATCAACTCAATGGCAATGGCTTTTTTAAAAAAAAATTTAAATAATTAAGTACTTACAAGTTAGGATTATGATATATATATCACAATTCTAATGATATATGATATAAAGGAAAAGAACACAGAAGAAACAGCTAAGTAATATGTTTGATCTGTCAAAATATGAATATTTTGTAGATAGTATCAAATATGCATTTCTAAACAGTAACATACTTCTAAAAAGTACGTTCCATCAGCCATAATCCAGATTTGGTATTTTTATTCTGTATTAAAAATACATTTTAGAAAAAGAATTTACTGTGAAATATCCACTTGTATATAGACTTCATGACAGCAGGGATTGCTCTGTTTTGTTCACTACTGCATTCCAGGGCCGAGAACAGTGCCTGACACATAGCAGGAGATCAATAAATGTTGACTGAATGAATAGATAAAATATAGAGTATAGGCTCTAACTTATTAGATTTGAAATTTTTCACATTAGCCTTTTTGTACATATAGGACAATATTACATATAAATGTCTACTATCATTTCAAGGGTTTTATAATTAGCTACTCACTTTTGGTCTTTTGGGAAGGAGACTCAACAGGAGATGAAATGAGTGTTTCTTGTGTTGTATCTTCCTGTACATGGTCTTCAAAGACTGTTGATCTGCCCACGCCTTCTAAATATTCTGTGTATATACATTTTTGAAATTATATACTTGAAATTATTCATTTTAAAATCAATAACTTACATTTTACTTCTGGTAGTCATTTTTTTTTTTCACTTATTCTCTTACATCTAAATATATCTTAAGTTTTTAAAAGAATTTCATGATGAGCTATTAATTTAAAGTTTTTAATTAAAAAA